CTTCGTAACGCTGACCTGGTTCTTTGCATACTGTGGGCACTCCTGATGCTTTCCATCCAGAAATCCTACAAGCACCTCAAAAGGAGCTAATTAAACTTTGCCGTGCCCCTGTGAAATAAATTGAGCAGTGCAGCAAGAGAAGAGTAAAGCCGCTATTCGCCTGACAACACTCAACAATGCTTTGATACGAATTTTCTTTCTACTTCCAAGGATTTTCCCCACGTCTGGAAGTAATGTAGCTGCTTCTTTAAAGCTTTTGGCCACTCTTTAAACAACTCATTAAGGGAGTTGCAGGTGGGTATCCACTATCTTCTTTCGGGGGGAAGAAGCCTTGTCATATCAGCTTTCACATGAGATAGCAGAGAGCTGTTTCAGACGCAGCTGGATTGCTCTGCTGAGCGTTACAGGAGCGTGGTGGATGACCCTCTCTCTGATTTCAAGTGTTGTTTCTTCTGCAGAGTGGTAGGAGAATATCCAAAAGGTGCCTCTGACTTCTGGCCTCGAATGTGATACCAGACAGGTATTAATAATTCAGTGCAGCCCTATGAACCTCTCGGGCAGTCTGGTCCCACAGTTCACTCTGGAGGATGTCTGCAGGCAACAGGTTCAGCTGTGGCGTTTGTGTGTGCATCGTGCTGTGCAGATCCTCACCTATACAGTGGTCCATGAGGAGTAAAAGGGAATCCCTCGTTAAACATTACACAGATAATAAGGAAAAACAATAAATGGATATTTTGATGCACACATGCCGGTTTCTAAATGGAGAAAGTTCACATTTTAATTCTGACCGTGCCAGTGCCATTTGTGGTAACATAATCTTGGGGTTTAGTGTCTTCAAGTGGGTGACTTCGTTTCACATCTCTGTCGCTGTAGCTTCGTGTTTCTTTAATAATAAATGGCTGTAACAGAGACTAAAAAGACTGATTGATGCGTAGTAAATTTAGTGTTGTCACCTTCGTTATATTGTTAAGTGCTTATTTTACTATCTTCACTGGGCTTACTTGCAGGCTAATTGTAATTCTGTAAATTATTGATATATGTCTTGGCAGAAAATGCCTTTAGTACAGGATAAATATTATTTACATCCATCATCCCAAGATCTCTAAAGGTTTGGTGCAAATGTTGCAGTAGCCTCAGAAGATGAGTAGGAGATGTTTATGGATTCACAGCTGAAGAGCAGGAAAACACGGTGGGTGTTTGCATGTTTCTCACTAACTGAGGAGAGGGAACGAAGAAGCCAGGGTCTGGGACACCATGGCTTGGTGTTGGAAGTGCTTTACAGGTTTTAGGAGGCCAGGGGGAATGCAGTGTAGTGCAGCCAACCTAGCATTGCTCCCTTGGGCAGACTTCACTGACCACCCTGAAAGGGCTTGATGGTTTGCTTGATGGTTATACACATAAAAAGGAGAATTAATGAACATACTCTTGAAATTCGGGACGAGTATTAACATTTACTAGAGCTTTCATCCCTCTTGGATATGAGGTTTTGCAATGCTCTCCTGTGCACTCCTCTCAGCAATAACAGGCAATTGTTTTGTTTTATGTGCGTTTGAAAACAAGAGGGATCTGAAGCAGGAAATTTTTAACCGAGACTGTTTCAACACTGGATTTGCTTGTTCTGTTGAACCTAATAGTCAAGGAGCTGCTTGGCAGCACTTTCATGACTTGCTTAATTCATTTGATCGTCCTTGAATGTATCCTCAACTTCATAAAGTGATAAGTTACTGGATCTGCTTGAACCTAAACTTAGTCTTGAACACAGTGACCTGGTTAGAAATGAGTTAGACTCACCTTTTCAACAGCAAGAGGGGTACTGAGAGAGAGAGACTTGGGTCTGGGCAGATCTGCAGATCCTTTTTCTGTAACGTCACTGAGACGCGCAGCCATTCCTGCCTGTTCGCACAGCTAAGTCTCATTCTGGCCTCTCATCTGTTGTTGTGACACTCTTCTGGCATCCATCAGCGATGCCATCAGGGAGTGTGGCAACTGTTGTATTCTAGAGGGTCAGCAGTCTCACCACCTCTGCGTTATGTGCTGGCATGTTCTTCTGGTTCACGTGAAGCAAACACTCCATGTCTTTGCTTTCATGGTCCTTTACAATCCGTCCTTGAGATGCAGCTCTTTCATTGGCTTTTAAGGACCGTCTTCTACCTGCAGTTGGCTCACAAACCTTCTTATTGCCTGATTGCTGAATTTCAAACGAGTCTGCACTTTCTCCTGAAGTTCTCTTGACATTTGGAGGGAGCTGCTTGCAAAACTCACTGTTCCTCAGATCTCCTTAAAATTCCTTTCCCACAAAGCCTACAAAAACAGTCATGCTATTCAAGCTGGAGGGGTGCAGAGGTCAGGTTTCCTGCACTCCCTTTTCCTATGTAGCTATCTTTTTTTTTTTTCTCTTGGGCTTCAAGCTGTTCATGTGAGAAGATTTGTCCAGCGCGTGAGGGTCCTGTGGGGACAGCAGAGAGAAAGGACCTCTGAAAGTTACAGCAAGAGGGTGGTCAGAGCTGAAAGCGGTCTCAGAAGGGGACAATCAGCGTAGCCCAAGAGGAGAGCAAGTGTTTGTGTTGGCCTTGACAGATCAAAGAGGTTGGGACTGGAGAGCTCTATCCAAGTTTTGGCAGCAAGCGGGTCATCGAGGATTTGAGCAAGAGCAGTGCCAGCTCTGTGTTACTTCTGTGCTCAGGGTACCAGCGGGGGTTTTGTACTCGTTTTCTTGAAGAAAAAAAAAAAAACCCACACCTCATTTTGTGGATATTGAGGAGAAAATGTCATTTTCTACCCTGGTACTTTTGGCGTGCGGTGAAAAGCCCCTTTGAACCCCAGCGATCTCCCCACTAGAATGGGCAGAGGGTGAAGTTCCTTCTCTTGCCTGGATCTGCTTGGTGTGGGTCCGGGAGGTGTTCGTCCACCACGCACACAGCCGACTGCCTCCTGCTCTGCAAGAAACAGGCCTGCTTATTTATCCTGGTGTCTCACAAGGATTCTTGTGCGTCAGAGGAGGAATGAGCAGCTGGTTTGGATGCTGGTGCTGGGGATTTAG